ACCTCAACTTTAGTCACGTTTGCCGAACCTTCTCCAAACCAAACCCAGATACTGTATGTTCGATCCATCACTAGTTGCTTTGAAGACAAATCTATATGTAGCGCCCTCTAGTGTGGTAATAGAATAGTGCAGTGTCTTGCAGGTAAAATCATTGTGTATGACTCATTGTAACTGTGTAAGTCTGTGATTGAGGCTGGGTTACTGCAGGGCAGGCTAGATGACTTGACAGGTTGGGATTCTATTATTTATTTATTTCAGGTACTTATATAGCGCCATCAATTTACACAGCATTTTATATATACATTGTACATTCACATCAGTCCCTAACCCTCAAGGGGCGTACAATCTCAGGTCACTAACTTGCATTCATACATACACATATTAGGGACAATTTACCTACCAGCATGTCTTTGGAGAGTGGGAGAAAACAACGCAGACACAGGGAGAACATGCAAACTCCAGGCAGGAGGTGGCATGGCTGGGATTCGAACCAATGACCCTAGTACTGCTGGGCAGAAGTGCTAACCATTTAGCCACTGTGATGCCTATACTCCATCATCTCCTCCTGGCCCTGGAGAACCATAGAATCTTCCATAAGTCAGTAGGCAGTAAGGGGTGGAGACCTGATCTGCATGTTTATGGGAGTCTGGCCAATCCCAGACTTGGAGGCCCTGGTATAGTGGTGGGGCTGGCCCATAAATATGGGCCAGCCTATTATAACTGTGTGAGTCTGTGATTGAGGTTGGGTTACTGCAGGGCAGGCTAGATGACTTTACAGGTTGGGACTCTATCATCTCCTCCTTGCCCTGGAGGGCCATAGAACCTTCCATAAAGTCAATACAAGGTGGAGACCTGATCTGCATGTTTATGAGAGTCTGGCAAATCCCAGATTTGGAGGCCCTGGTAGAGTGGTGGGCTGGCCCATAAAATATATGGGCCAGCCTATTATAACTGTGTGAGTCTGTGATTGAGGTCGGGATTGGGGTGTCAGGCTAGATGAACTTGGATAAAAGTTGGGACTCTATCATCTACCATCCTGGCCATGGGGGACCATAGAATCTTACATACATAAGTCAGTAGGCAGTAAGGGTGTGGAGACCTGATCTGCATGGTTTATGGGTGGCGGGAAAGTTCTGGCTAATCCCAGTTTTTGGAGGCCTGGTAGAGTGGTGTGGCTGCCCATAAATTATGGAGTCAGGCTGACAGAGGAAAGTCAGTGGAAGATGCAGTGCTGAGGAAACTGTCGGTGACTTGACAGGTTGGGACTTTATCATATCCTCCTGGCCCTGGCGGACCATAGAATCTTACATAAGTCAGTAGGCAGTAAGGGGTGGAAGTGTGGAGACCTGATTCTGCATGTTTATGAGAGTCTGGCTAATCCAGTTTTGGATGGCCCTGGTAGTAGAATGGTGGGCTGGCCATAAATATGGGAAGAGTCAGGCTGACAGAGGAGTCAGGTGGAAGGATGCAGTGCTGAGGAAACTGTTGGTGCCTGGGAGGGGTCCCCCCCCCCACCCCCCCCCCCCCCCCCCCCCCCCCCCCCATAGGAACTGGGGGGGGTGGCAGCCTCCAGGTGGTCTCGGGCAACATAGGGCTCAGGAGGATATATTCATCTGGGAATACATGAATTAAATTTAGACACCTGGGAGTAGTGGGAACACGAGAAGGACAGAGTGAGTACATCAGCACACCCCGGGATTCACCAGGGGGAAAGACTGCCTACACGTAGGAAGATTTCAAAGGACTGCGCTGGGGGCTCAATCCTTTACACTTGTTCCGGGGGATCTTCAGAGCAGGGCCAGGAGGGCTGGTAGTTTCTGCAGGTGGGGGAGCTGGGACAGAAGTTCTACACAGAGGAGATGGAGACATCTACTGCATGTAGTTACAAGAAGCTAAGCGAGCTTTGAGGGGCTTCGAGTTCCCTCACCTCATGTAAAAGGTCTCTTGCTACTTATCTGCAACAACCTGACAGTTTTTAAGGAAAAATAAAAAGAATAGTACAGGATCTACTTCTGATTACATAGGAAGGAAGTTGCCCCTGCTCCCCCGTCTTCATTGATTCAAGCCAAACTGGGCATCCCATAATCCCTATTACACCACATCCAAGTTATTTCCCCCAAAAAAATAACAAAACCGAGCTCATGGACTCGTTGACTGTGGATGAAAGTGTTGATAAAAAATGCATGTTGCCTGGCTGTGGCAGAGCTTAGGGGTACCTACAACACAGCGCGCCCTCACAAGGATAGCCTAATTGCATCTAATTGCACAAACATGTCTGTGATCGCAGAGTAGCCTGAGAACGGCTTAGTTTAGTTAGATGATTAGGTAGAAGTACTCTAATAGAGAGGAGTACTGGATTAGAGTGTGAATCATTTATTGTAGATGGAGGGATAAAACTACAAATAATATATATTCAATTGTGGCTTAATAACTCACGTTTTGCCAGTGTAGGGGCTGCCTATGAAATTAATCAGGACTGGGCAGATCCCCATGTCACCGATGGAGGCTTTAGGTGGAATATGGAGAGGACCAGAGGACCAGAGGACCAGGACTTGTAACAAGACGGGCTTCATCATTAAATTCCTTCTTAGTGTGCCTTCATGCTTCCCCAGAGATGGGCAGGCCTAGCTAAACCTATGCAGGTCCCAGCCTGCTTCCAGCAGTTTGTGCTCTGTGTTCCCCCAGTGATTACAACATGAATGCAGTGCAAGCATTTTTTTTTTTTCCTTCCTATGTAATAGAAACATTGAATAAAATAGACTCTGATGAACTAGTCATGGTATGTAGTGGAAATATCCAGGGTATGGTATGTGACCTCAAATTAATGTAAAGAAAACAAAACCTCAGCGCTCAGGACTTCCTATGTACCACACAAATCCCCCTGTGGGATGCTGCTGTGCACAGGTACAAAAGACCAAAAAAACTTTTAACAATGAAAACCAGCGCAAACCCACATGGTCAATTACATTACTACAGCTTTAAAAAAACATTACTGTGCTGATAAATGTATATATATTAAGAATATATATAAATAAAGTTGACGATATAAAAAAAAATATATAAACATTAGAATCATAAAGTCTCACGTGACAAAAACAATCAAGTGACAAAAAAAAATCAAAAAATCCACAAAGTATATATATATATATAATTACAGTCTCCCGTGACTAAAAAAAGATAAAACAAATTAATATATAAATTTTCATTTGGGTTCTTCTGTGTTCACTGTCCTTCACCATGCACCAGTGCAGAAATCAAAACATTAGCCGCACTCACCAGATATTGGTGAGTCACACGCCTTTCAGGATTATTAAGGGCTCCTGGGACCCCCTTTACTTTTTGTGAGACTCTCCAAGTGCTGTTTCCTCTTATGTCTAGGTACCATCTTTCTGCTTACTCCTCTCACCGAATCCCCCAAGGAAAAATCAGGAAGAAAAAAAGACCATAGCGTGATACCGTAGTAATTTCTCCCTCAAAATAATCTCTCCAGACCACTCACATTCTTTTGCGGGATATAGCATCGCCTTTTTATTCAAAAATGCTACAATGATTTCTTCCAAAATGTATCCACTTTTCATGTACACCGATTTTTGTAAGAGACCCCACAGTTTAGTGTACAGACAGGATGGCAGACCTCAGCTACAGACTCATCTACTAAGTTCTAAGATTAGGCCCCTTGGTAACGCACCGCTCGGCGTGCGCTCCACTCACCGGAAATTACGTCAGACGACGGACCAGGCAACCGGAAGTGCGTCAACGCGTTTCGCCCCACCCACAGGGCGTTATCAAGACCTCTCAACACACATCTCCCCCCCCCCCCCTCCCCAGCCCGAAAGAGAGGAAGACAGTCACACTTCACAACTTTGATTCTTCCTGGGAACAAGAGTCGGGTTCTGCATACACATCAAGCAGCCCACAGCCTCTCTTGTACCCATCTGGTCCCATCCCATGCACGCAAGTGTCCCCTTCTTCCAGGGGGGTGGTGCTGCCCCCCTGAAAAAATGACACCCTAGGCAAATGCCTTGTTTTTTCCTTGTGGTAAATACGCTCCTGGGGGGGGGGGGGGGGGGGAGGGAGGTACTGTGAAGTTTTGTGACAGGTAATAAATACCTAGAAGTGTTACCCTGACACATTACTGAGCATGCTTTCCATACCATTTCTGATGACCAGAGTCCATCCACCAGGTTGGACAAAAAACATCCCTTTTACTCCCAGTTGGCTGTTGGTTAGTCCATTGCATACATTTGTCAGTGAAATGATGTGACGGGATGGAGAAAGCTTTGCGTTTGTTGCTGAAATTTTGTAGACATGGAAAGGCCAAGACAAGGAATTGTTGTGATCAAAGTACACATTGCTGAACGCCACTTACCACACACAGAGCGGGATTCCCGCATTTTCCCGGCTTTTTTTATTGGAAGATTTGGATGATTGTACTACTCTGAAGTGTTGAGGAATGAGCTCTGTTCCCGGGAAATGGTGTGCCGCGAATGCAAATGGTCTTGCATTTTATCTGTATGAATGTACAGACAGGCTCAAAACAAGGCCCGTCTTTACCATACATAGAGAAATAAAGCCTCCTGCAATATGTAAAGGGTATCAGAGGATTACACAGCAGTTGTTTCTCCCGTATTTATACATGTCCTTGTTCGGTTTTGTGTAAGAAGAAAGAAAGAGAAGAGTATTTTTCTTTATTCCTCTGTGTCAGCTGAAATCTCCAAGGATGGGCAACTTCCTCTATACTGTAATTAGATGTCTAGTGAACTTCAAGGCGACGTCTTGTAGGTTTTTGTCCCACAAAAAAAACAAAGTCTTCTATAGACAAATATCTACAGCGCTCTTTCTCAACCAGGGTTCTGTGAAACATGAGGGTTCTCCAAGAGGTTGTGAGGGTTCTTTGAGCTACGAGTAACCACTGACATCAATGATATTTTTTAGATATCTGTAAGGGAGGTAGTTTTTCCAAGGACCACCAATGTAAGCTTCAGTCTTCCCACTGACCTCCGATGTAAGGAGCATTCTTCCCACTGACCCCCAATGTAAGGGGCATTCTTCCCACTGACCACCAATGTAAGGGACATTCTTCCCACTGACCCCCAATGTAAGGGGCATTCTTTTCTTCCCCACTTCACTGACCACCAATGTAAGGAGCATTCTTCCCACTGACCCCCAATGTAAGGGACATTCTTCCCACTGATCACCAATGTAAGGGACATTCTTCCCACTGACCACCAATGTAAGGCGGACCACCAATGCATTCTTCCCACTGACCTCCAATGTAAGGAGCATTCTTCCCACTGACCACCAATGTAAGGGGCATTCTTCCCACTGACCCCCAATGTAAGGGACATTCTTCCCACTGATCACCAATGTAAGGGGCATTCTTCCCACTGATCACCAATGTAAGGGGCATTCTTCCCACTGACCACCAATGTAAGGAACATTTCTTCCCACTGACCACCAATGTAAGGGCATTCTTCCCACTGACTCCCAATGTAAGGGGCATTCTTCCCACTGACCACCAATGTAAGGAAACATTCTTCCCACTGACCACCAATGTAAGGGCATTCTTCCCACTGACTCCCAATGTAAGGGGCATTCTTCCCACTGACCACCAATGTAAGGAACATTCTTCCCACTGACCCCCAATGTAAGGGACATTCTTCCCACTGACTCCCAATGTAAGGGGCATTCTTCCCACTGACCACCAATGTAAGGAACATTTCTTCATTAATCACTAGTGTAATAGGTCTGTTCTGCCAGTAACTGCCATTCTAAGTGAGCCTCATCTCCAATGATCACCAGTGTAAGAAAAAGCTTCTCTATGGAGCAAAATATAAGGGGGCATTTCTCACATGACCACCAATGTAAGGAAACACTACAATTTTCACCATCTGCCTTCTTTTCCATCCATTGTTATTATCATTATATTTTATTATTGAAGACAATGATTTAGTCACCACATAGAGAAACCCCCAGTGTTGAATATTCTAAGCAGACCATGTTCCTTATTCCTTTATTATATCTCAATTTACTGCTAATGTACCTTCAGCTGTAGATACAGAAACTATCGGGGAGGGTTTCCTGAGTGGTGAAAGTTATTTTAGGGTTTCCTCGATGTTAAAAATGCTTAGAGAGGCTGATCTACAGTTCCATGTACAGTACAACCACCAGTGTAGAGTACAATATATCCGGGGACCGTCTGATTCTCATCCAGACTTGTTCCACCACACAGGTCGCGGGATTAGGTTCTCCCTGACCACCTCACCCACCTCAACCCTCCTCTGTCGCTCATACCAGCCTCATAGCTATTTTTACGTATATATTATAGGCAGGGGTGGACTGACAACTCATGGGGCCCCCGGACAATAGTGGACCATGGGCCCCTGTGTCCTCACCCACACTCAAACCACTCCCAAAAAAGCCTATGAAAGGTACCAGGGGCATCTCATGGGGCCCCCTACTGACCCTAGGCCCTCGGGCAGTGCCTGAGTGTTCAAATGGTCAGTCCACCCCTGATTATAGGTATTTATACAGTGCTAAGAAATGATGTATACATGTCGTACATTCACGCAGAGGCGTCCCTAGGGTTGGTGTCACCCAGTGCGATAAAACTTGGTGACACCCCCTCCGACAAACCCCGCAGAATGGATCAGATCTGCAGATTGACTCCGATCCATTATGCTCCCCAATCCGCAGATCGGCATGCAACCTATACGGGGTGACACCGGACCCGCTTCACGAAAAGGTAAGTTGTAAAGAAAGCCAATGATCCACACAGGATGAATCGGATCCATCCTGCGGGGATCGTTGGCTTGCTTTACAACTTACCTTTTTGTGGAGTGGGTCCGGTGTCACCCCATCAGGAAGGTGTCACCCGGTGCAGCACGCACCCCCTGCACATGCCTCGGGATGCCCCTGCATTCATGTCAGTCCCTACCCTCAAGGCCCTTGTCCAGCATGGTTTTGGACTGTAAGAGGAACTCGGAATAAACTCACACAAGCACAGGGAGAACATGCAAACTGCATGCTGACAGGTCAGGATTTAGATCTGTGACTCCAGGATTTCAAGACACAAGTGCTAAACTCAAAGTTATTGTGCTGCCGTGACATTCAACTCCCATCCATCCATGTGCAGTCTACTGGTCTGCCTACCATTGCCTGCAGCCTTTGTTCTAGACTTGGCCACTTACCTCTGCTACCTGAGCTTCCTTCACCTGGATGCATTGACTTACTTCCCTAGATAGGTTGCATTCCCAATGATGTCATCACTCTCTAGTGAATGGATAGGCTGCATTCTCGGTGATGTCATCGGTCTTTAGTGAATGGATAAGCTGCATTCTCAGTGATGTCACCGCTCTCTAGTGAATGGATGGGCTGCATTCTTGGTGATGTCACCACTCTCTAGTGAATTGATAGGCTGCATTCTCGGTGATGTCACCACTCTCTAGTGAAGGGATAGGCTGCATTCTTGGTCACCACTCTCTAGTGATGCATCATGTCACTGCTCTCTAGTGAAGGGATAGGCTGCATTCCTGGTGATGTCATTGCTCTCTAGTGAATGGATGGGCTGCATTCTCAGTGATTTCACTCGTCTCTAGTGAATGGATAGGCTGCATTCTCAGTGATGTCACCGCTCTCTAGTGAATGGATAGGCTGCATTCTCGGTGAGGTCACCGCTCTTTAGTGGATAGGCTGCATTCTCGGTGATGTCACCGCTCTCTAGTGGATAGGCTGCATTCTCGGTGATGTCACCGTTCTCTAGTGGAGAGGCTGCATTCTCGGTGATGTCATCGCACTCTAGTGGAGAGGCTGCATTCTCGGTGATGTCACTGCTCTCTAGTGTGGGATAGGCTGCATTCCTGGTGATGTCATTGCTCTCTAGTGAATGGATGGGCTGCATTCTCGGTGATGTCACTGGTCTCTAGTGAATGGATAGGCTGCATTCTCAGTGATGTCACCGCTCTCTAGTGAATGGATAGGCTGCATTCTCGGTGATGTCACTGCTCCCTAGTGAATGGATAGGCTGCATTCTCAGTGAGGTCACCGCTCTTTAGTGGATAGGCTGCATTCTCGGTGATGTCACCGCTCTCTAGTGGATAGGCTGCATTCTCGGTGATGTCACCGCTCTCTAGTGGAG